ACCTCTCTGCTCTTGTTTCAGTCTGATGTCGATAATGACCTGGTCGGAGACTCCTGTGACACAAACCAAGACAGGTACACACACACACACACACACACACACACACATAGTCTCTACATTATTAACTTACATATATCAGATTTTTTCTGCCACTACTTCTGATACTCCAGCTTCCATTCACATCCTGTAATCATGTCACTTCCCCTGTAGCGATGGCGACGGTCACCAGGATACCAAGGATAACTGCCCGTTCGTGATCAATAGTTCTCAACTGGACACCGACAAAGACGGGCTGGGTGACGAGTGTGACGATGACGATGACAACGATGGGATCCCGGACACAATTCCACCTGGACCAGACAACTGTCGGCTGGTACCAAACCCTGACCAGACTGACGACAACAGTGAGTTTCAAACAAACATCATGTTTACACGCTTCAAATTGAGATAACATTCTGATCTACTAAGACGCAGCTTTATTGCTCAGATGTAATGTTCATTTTTGCTCCTGATGGACCTATACGTGCAGTTTCTAGGCCACAGTCTCAAACCCAAGAAAAAGCAACCTTTGGGGCAGATCAAGCAGCAATTTTGCTGAGTAAATAAAAAGCAATTTTTTTCCCCAAGCACCCACTTGGCAACTTTGTGACATTTAATGTGAGAGAGGGGGCTGTGAAGTCAGCGATAGAGGAGTGCCCACTGAAATCAAGTGTTGCAGGGGGAGGTTTGTTTGGTAATCAGGGAGCTCTGTGATGTGGAGAGGGAGAAGAGGAGGTTGTGTAAGACCAGCTGTGTCCTAAGGATCTACAGTATCTCTGATTCTGTGCCTCTAAACATGATGAAGAGATTGTTATATGTGTTATTTATGGGTTATACAAAAATATAAAAGATTTGTTTGCATGCTTTGGAGCTTAGTATCAAGACTCCCACATAAAGGGAAAGACATTCAGTAATTAGCTTTTTTCATGTGCAGGTATATAACAATAGAACATTGTGTCTTCAAGGTCCATCACGACTGCAATACTACTATTTACAATCTACTCCATCAACTAGATTTAGAGCCTCACATAATATATTACAAGATAAAAACAGATTGGCGTATCCCCACCTAATGTGCTGGAGAGACTCCATCACAGCGCTTTCTACCATGGCAAATGCAGCAGAGCAGTTTCTAATTCTGAACACACTCTCACAGCAGGGTACAGACCAGAGCGAGCTTCAATACAAAGTCCATCAGAACTGGAACACTTGCAACACACAGTAAAAAACTTGTTCTTTAGTGAGATTTTAAATATTCATTTTAGAAAAAGAAATTCAGAAGTATACCTGGGACGTTTTATATTCAGCCCTTGCAGATCTGCAGCTTCTGAGCAAGGACATCGAGTTCCCCTGGAGCAGGCCGCCGTGACATTTTTGGTCAAGTTGGTCTGAAATCTGTTCATCGTGACAATGTGGAAAATAATCTTTTTTGAAATAGAATGGAAGATGCTAATCTAGTATCTGTTCTTGTGCCTCGTTCATGAGATAATGACTGTCTCATTTTCCTCAGAGCTTCAGAGGTTTAATGTCCCTGTCTTGTGCCTCAGATGACGGAGTTGGAGACATATGTGAGTCGGACTTTGACCAGGACAAAGTCATCGACAGGATTGACAACTGTCCTGAGAACGCCGAGGTTACCTTGACTGACTTCAGGGCCTATCAGACAGTGGTGCTGGACCCAGAGGGTGACGCCCAGATCGATCCCAACTGGGTTGTTTTAAACCAGGTGAAATTACTAAGTGTTATTTATTAAAACTTATTGGTCACATAAGGCGAAAATTACAACTTGCATTATCTTAAAGTTAAATATAATCAATATTCTTTAATGTATGAAATGCGTAATGTGAGGGTAATACACCTATAGAGAATTATCATCCAACTCTGCAGCTCCCCTGGCTGGCTGCAGTATAGTTAAATAAATAAATCTGGCCTCCTCCATGTCAGCAGATGGGACATGAACCAAACTAAAAGGCAAAAACCCATGCCAAAAACAAAATGTCAAGCAAATGTACACCTCATTTTGATAGATATAGTATATAACTATAATTAGTTCAGCAAAATATGGCATCAAGTGCAAGATTCCCTGTTAACAGCTTTCTCCGTCTTTGTCACCCAGGGAATGGAAATTGTTCAGACCATGAATAGTGATCCTGGCCTTGCTGTTGGTAAGATGTATTTCCTCACTGAGTTGAATATCAATCATTAAAATATATAATACATCTCCCAATCTGAACATATATAATGTGAAAATCATTCCTTCTGTTATCAGGTTACACTGCTTTCAGTGGAGTGGACTTTGAGGGGACGTTCCATGTGAATACAGTGACTGATGATGACTACGCTGGCTTCATCTTTGGCTATCAGGATTCCTCTTCCTTCTACGTGGTGATGTGGAAGCAGACCGAACAAACCTACTGGCAGGCGACACCTTTCAGAGCTGTGGCCGAGCCCGGCATTCAGCTGAAGGTGAAAGCACACAGCTACAAAATGTCACAACGGCCCCAGCTCACGCTATTTTTATCTGTATTTTCTCCACTCCTGCTTTTCTATTGTCTGTGTGCCTCCCTCCTCACCTCTATGTGTCTGTTCCTCAGGCGGTGAAGTCTACATCGGGCCCTGGGGAGCACTTAAGGAACTCACTGTGGCACACGGGAGACACAAATGACCAGGTGCGTCTGCTGTGGAAGGACCCGAGAAATGTCGGCTGGAAGGACAAGGTGTCCTACCGCTGGTACCTGCAGCACCGCCCACAGGTTGGATACATCAGGTAAAACATATAGTGCTCTCATATCTGTCTGTTCAGTTTAAAGCTAGCTTAGTTTAACATGAAGACTGGAAGGGGGGGGGGGGGGGGGGCAACTGCCTCCATTTAAATAAGACAATACTAATTAACTCACTTTATTTCGTTGGTTCAACCTGCAGTTTGAAGCTTTTGTCTCCCCCTTGTGGCAGTGAGGGTAATAACATAAAATCTGTTTATTTGTGTTCATGGCATAAAGCTTATATGTCCTTGATCCCTTTCTGGGTACTTTTATTTGGAGAAACTTTTTGGATGCTTCCTAAATTTGTCTATATCCTCCTTGTTTCTGTATCGTAATTGATAATAGGCAGGCTTTGTGGCCTATACTGTAGCCAGCCACCAGGGGGAAATGATTTGGCTTCACTTTAGGGGGAGCTTTCATTTTGTCCATCTTTATATACAGTCTATGGTCAATGCAGGTGCTCCCCTCATGAGTCCTGGCCCTTGATGGTTGACATAAAAGTCACAAAAGCATTTAAGCAGTGATAAAAATAAACAATGAAAATGTTTTCTTTGTTCAGAGCTCGGTTTTATGAGGGAACTGAGCTGGTCGCAGACTCTGGAGTGACGATTGACACGACCATGAGAGGAGGGCGACTTGGCGTGTTCTGCTTCTCTCAAGAAAACATCATCTGGTCCAATCTGAAATACCGCTGCAATGGTGGGAACACTTCATCAAATCCATCCATTATATCTGTCGTCATGTCTCTCCCATTCTCTTCCAACTGATCTTATCCTTCTGCTGATCTCAAGGCAGTTTTTTGAGGAATCACTATGGGGAAAGCAATGTCAAAACATAATAGGTGGTTTGACATGAACATCCATCTTCCCCACAGGATGTGTTGTAATTATTGTGTTGATCCTTTAATTTCCATCTAGCGCCATCATCTGGTCAAACTTTCAATTTGTCAAAAGGTTCATAAACAAACACCCACAAATGAATGAACAGTTCAATCAGCCACTACTGTGCTAATCAGTATATGTAAACATGCTAATATGGTAAAATAATAAGTTGAACGTCTGTGCTAAACACCAGACTGTTAGCATTGCTTTTGAGCATATTATCCTGCTGATCTTAGCTTTCAGTTCCAAGCACCATATAAATATAGAACCTCCCAGAGCATCTAGCAGGGCTGCAGTAGTCTTGTCAATAACACATATTATTTCCTATACTGACCTCTATAACTTGTGTCTGGGAAGCGTCTGTATTATATTTTATCACGATGTTGCATGAACACAACTGAAACTGTGATGTGAAATTAGTTTGGCCTTGCTTTGCTTTTAGATATTGAGCTCGTCTCACGATACCCAATGTCTCATTTCCACAGACACCATCCCCGAGGACTTCCAGGAGTTCAGCACTCAGCACAGCACTGACTCACTCTAAAGTCAACACCAGCATATGACACCAGATCTCCAAAGAAAGTGTGTGTGTCAGTGAGAGTGTGAGGGAGTGTGTGGATGTGTGTCTATCTATCTGTGTATTGATGTGTACAGTGTCTGTGCATATATGACCACAATCTTTGTACTGTATGTGCATACTATCATGTCTGATCCCATCCTGTTTAATCATCTCTTCAAGACTCCAGCTGAGCTTGTTATGATAAATATAATAAGTTAAAATAAAAATAATTTTTTTTTACTTTAAGTACCGTCATTGCATATAGTAAAAGCACAACAGGCCCCCAGATTCCCATATATTTGCTTTATCTTTTTATGTTCTTCGCATAATTAATTGGACATCATCAAAAATAATAGTTCTCATCTACACTGTAGTTACTTGGAATATTTTAGCTCATAAATTGTATTGTAATCACAAGAGAAACAAAGTGCTTTGGATAAGATGGTGTTTCCTGTATAGTGATAATTCCAGGGTTTTACTCTTTCTGTCATGAGGAGGAACAGACCAAGTTTTGTAGCAGTCAGATTCCAGATTCTGCCTCGTCTTTCTAACTGTGTGATTAACTTAAAGCTCAGTGTGACCTTGATTTCTCTTGATCATTGGGTAATCAAGGTCTTGATCATTTCAAATCTGTATGGTCATGAAACCTGGTCACAATAAAGGGCTGTTTAATATATTGAAATAGATGTTGAACTCTATCAGGGGGATATTATAAGGATTTGTGTGATTTTTAATATTTTTCTCATTTTTTAATATATACTACGAGTGTTACATGTGTCATATAAATCACTGTCTACTTCTATAGACCAAAGGACATGCATACACGTAAATGCATGAAAATAACCACTCGTAACCGTCACACACATGAAACTGGAGCACTCCTCTTTTCACTGTGATCCCAGAAACAAAGGCCTCTGTTCTGCTGCAGCCAAAAATCCTCTGTACCCATTAGACCGCATTAGAACATTCTTTCTCCTGATTAGCTGCTGAGATGAAGAGAGAGGATTTGGACTTCGCTTCAGAAAAGAGACAAGAGGGAAGATCTTTTTTTTTTGTCTTCAGTATTGGGAAGAAGAGGCTATGTATATCACGCTGACACCTTTTTTAATGAAGTACGTGAATATGCTGTCATTAACAAGTAGCTGGTAGATAACATCTGTGATTTATCTTCATCTCAAGGAGGTAAGAATTCAATTGTTATTATATGATATGATGAATCTAAATAAGCAGAGAGATGCAGTGTGCCTTCATTTAGGTTAAAGCGCTTTTATATTAGTCAGAAATAATAACATGTAATTTGTAAATTAAATTATAATGCAGTATTCTCCCAGTCTACATTACCTGACTTTAAGTTGAAATAATTCATAAATTATCAGTAGCAATTGGGCAGATTTAGCAAATATCTGTTTTTCTTAAAGACTTAAACTCTTGAAGTATTTTCTGTGCTCAGTCAGAATGCAGAGCCCCTTTAAGAATGTATTTATCTGGAGAGAGTGAAGCTTGATTGCTGTTTTATAATATAATCACAGTCAAACAAAGAGATTAGATGAAGCTTGATTGCTATATAACATAGGATGCTGTCACAACAAGCTATTCTGATTCTAAAACGAATGCATGAGCAAAAGTTAATGTGTGTGACCTAATTTTTCAAACCACAGCAGTAATCTATAGAACTGTGAGGGAGAAAAAGGAAAGTAATCACAAAACAATCATGAAGAAATCAAGATTTGCAAAGTAACATCAATAGGAGGGTTTGAAGATCAGTATCGTGTTTATTAGACCACAGTTTATAAGAGATGTTACTGATGATTTTGATTACTCAACTTTATCTGAAAAGTTTCTGTAGCCTCTGTATTTGTTTACTCTTATAAGAAGCATTGTAGCACAGAAGAAAAGAAGCCACCAGCCGAGCAGAAGGATCAAGAGCTCCTCTGCTCAATGAGCAACATAAACACACTCAGACTATCATGCAGAGAACTGCGACTGAGGATGTTGACGTTAGCAGCGGGAAGCTTTTCTGCAAATCTGCTTTGATCATGTCTTCAAAAAATGTAAAAATAAAATGCATAAAAAAAACGATGGGGTAAACTAGCGGTGAGGTCTGGATTTGAACTCACGCTTCTCGGTTGGAATTGTTTCCTCCTTAGGGAACAAAGACGTTCATGTTCATGCTGATTTCGTTTGTGTGCAGGAAGAGAAACTCTGACAATATCTGGGTTCAAATTATGGAGATCAGAGAAACAATTAATGAACATGTGGACAAATGTTGATTAATATCACAAAGGTGATGCCTTTTAACTTTGTTAAGCCTCAAACAAAAAGTTATGGGACTGAGACTGTGTCTGAAATCACTCACTAATTACTATATAGTGAGTTTGGTACTCAATGGTACTCAACCTAATACTTCATATAGCAAAATGACAACTGCGATCAACTCTAATAAGCAGGCATGGACAACAGCAAGCAGCCGTCACGTGAAGAAGCTCCAGGAAACTCGTCTCTCTGCACAACTGTGGGACTTTTCACAGGAAACATGAATCTGTGCAGAAAATGGGTGTCAAGTAGGTGTTTAATCTTCTCAACATATGTCTTATACTACTTTACCTTCATAACGCTTTACAAATGAAGTTATGAAGGGATGTGGGTAAGGATGAGGAAAGTGGGAAAAAGGATGAAGGGATGTGGGTTTAAAGAATTAGGGAAGGAGGGAAAAGATAAATGAATGTGGATTTATAAGGATGAGGGAGGTGGAGAAAAAAGATGAAGGGATGTGGGTAAGGATGAGCAGAGGGAGGGATGAGGTAGAAGGGTGAGGGAAAAAATCGTAGACCAGCAGAACATGATGAGTTGATCAATTTAGGCTTAACAGGTGGTTATAAATCTAGTTGAAATATCAAGTTTAATATTTGTCCAGTCTGACATATGAGCTTTTGTAATGTAGACATCTGATTGAAATGACATCACTATCATCTACGACAGGACAGAATGTGATGATCCAGCTGCCGGACTGGATTTTACGAGGCGTGGCCCAGGTCATGTTTGTCAACAACCCTCTGAGTGGTCTCCTCATCACGGCCGGCCTCTTCCTGCAGAACCCCTGGTGGGCTCTGAACAGTCTGCTGGGGACCCTCGTCTCCACCGTGTCTGCCATCTTCCTGGGACAAAACAGGTGTCGTCTCCTTATCCTTATTTGACTTCATCCCAGGGGGAAAAAAACATAATTTTCTTCTCAGCATGACACCATTATCACTGCCTCTTTCCCCGAGGCTACGCTTTCTTTAGCTTTCACACTGGGCTACTTTAACAGTTTGTTTCTCATCAAAGTGTGCTTTGCTCTTATGTCGGGTACATCTGTTGCTCTCACCTCAGGGAGGCCATATCAGCAGGTTTGTTCGGCTACAATGGAGCTTTGGTCGGCATGCTGATGGCTGTATTCTCTGCTGGAGGAAGCTGGTACTGGTGGCTTCTTCTGCCAAACATGTTCATGTCCATGTTGTGGTGAGATTTCTCTTCTAAATATTTAATTCTTTAGATTACACACACTTGACAATTGCACACACTAAACAGGAAAGACACAAAAGCAGCAGCTTGTTGTGAGGGCCGGGAGCCATATTGAAATCCCTGACCGATAGTACCCCTGTGAGTCTTTATGATTTCACATGGCACATGTGCAGTTTACTGTGAAAATTCCTTTGAAACAAGAATGGCCCTCAGTAGAGCGCATATTTCCACCAAGGCCCAAAAGTCCCCTTAACACTCACACTAATAGATTTCAGTTTCCAATTTTTGGTAAATCTGTGAAAATGCTTTGCAATGTTAAAGAAAGTGAAATGTGTATCCTGTGATCCAAACAAAACTTGAATGAGTTCTTCCCTGACCCACATGGTATCATTTCTTCAGGTTTTTGTCTGTCTAAAATATTTAATAACTACCAGACAAACAAAATGAACAACAATGGGTCCATGATTTTAGATGGAGAGAATGAAAAAGATTCTCATTTGTAACCAGAATAAATTATTGAGAGCTGGAGCAAATTTGGGATTTAAGATAAGAATTTATATAAATATATCATAATATCAAAATAATCACAAATTGTGTGTGATTTTTAAAACTCAAACTTTTTTTTCTATATTCCATATATTATTCCAGAGGAGACACGTAGCTACCTTATAGAGATACTACAGTATCATATACAATGATGATGCTAATGAGAATAATGGTACTGTTGTTTGATACTGTTTGTTTGCTTAGTTAGCAGGATTACACAAAAACTACAACTGTGGTAAAAACCTGTACAACTTTGGTGCAAATCTGGATTAGGATTTTTTTTCATTTTGTTTGTGTGGATATTTTTCATCAGAAGGTTTTATAATGGGAATGTTGGGCCGGAGGTAAATGCTCTCTGGGTGCCATTCCAGTTCAAAATGTTCCATAGAACTCTGTCCTTAATGAAAATGTGAACAATCACACTCTCCTCCCACCAATAACATATCTACTGGTCTCTGTCCACAGCCCAGTGGTCTCCAGTGCCTTGTCCTCAGTTGCCAGCAAATGGGACCTTCCAATATTCACCTTGCCATTTAATATTTTGGTGTGTCTACATGTGGCAGCTACAGGAGCCAATCATCCATACTTTCCACAGGTATATTCCACACAAGAATGTACATTTACATTGTTTGGATGCAAATGAAGTCTTCTTTCGCTTTTAGGTGGATATCCAGCCACATAAGCATCAGCACCCCCGTAATGACTCCACTGAAAGCCTCAACATCTTTCAGGTTGACCAGGCTCTTCAAATCTAAATTACTGTGGTGTCTATTTTCCCACATGTCATCTAAATTACCACCCTGTTCTAATTGTTTTAAATGTCAGAAAACTGCGGCTTTCCATTTGCAGCTTTTCTTGTCGGTGCCAGTTGGCATTGGCCAGGTGTACGGCTGTGACAGTCCCTGGACAGGAGGTGTCATCCTTCTGGGCCTGCTGCTCTCCTCACCGACGATCTGTTTTCATGCCATGTTGGGCTCGGCTGCTGGCGTGTTGACGGGTAAAAAGAGTCATTTGCATATAAATATGCATCATGTCTTTTGAGGATGAGGAGCTGTGGCTCTTCAAAGGGCACCATTGAATACTGGTGAATGAACCATGGCATGTTTTTATGAATAATGCTTCATACTTTGTGGGTTGACACATTTTTCAGTTTTGAGCAGTTGTTTGTTGTTAATTGCAAAGTTGCATGGATACTGTTGTCCTCTCCTCTGATGTGTGGTGCAGGACTTGCTCTGGCTGCTCCTCTCTGGGATATTTACTCAGGGCTGTGGGGATATAACAGCGCTCTTTCCTGCATCGCTGTTGGAGGCGTCTTCTATGTTATAACGTGGCAAACCCATATCCTGGCTGTAATATGTGGTGAGATTAACAAAACGATCACTGTCTTCATATGCCTCACACAAAATAGTTTCTATAAAAACTGTGAAATTGTTTTTTCCAGCACTTTTCTCTGCATACATGACTTCGGCGAGCTCAAGACTGATGTCCGTGGTACGTAAGAAACTTTGTTCCCATGAGTCAACCTCTATAAGCATCATCTGAAAATCCAGATGTCTTTTGTGTCGAGTGTCACGCTCTGTTCTCTCACGACGTCCTACCCTCTCAGCTCGCATTACCCGCCTGCACGTGGCCTTTCTGCCTGTCCACTCTCATCTTCCTCCTGGTTTCCTCCGAGATCCCAGCCATCTGCAGGCTGCCTCTGTCTGTGGTCTCCTACCCTGAGGAGAATCTGCAACGCCGGAGACGACTGAAGGCCTCAGAGGGAGTTCGGTGCAGTCAGCAGGGCAGAGACCAAGAAGTGGAGGAGGAGAAGAAGGAGAATGGAGGGACAGATTACCAGTCGGAAGAGGAGATAGGATCTGTGTGATTAGAGGAGGCGCTCTTTTGTCTTGACATGCTCCTCTATAAATATTTAATTGTTGGGGTATTATGTTGATATACATTTCTGGCATTTTGTCTCTTACACAACAGTTGTTATATAAAATGGCTGAAGATTTGTTTTCTAGCATGCATTTGTATCTTTTCTACACAGCAGAGGGCAGCATTTTCCAAGGAAAGACAGCCACAGTGCATACAGAGTAAATCTAATAATAACCTGGAGGAAAGCACTGAGCAAAATGCATTTACTAGCTTTGTTAGAAATAACATATATAATGTTAAATGTGAGTTCTCGGTTACAGGAGCTATAAAGCAAACATTAGGGGGTAAAAGCAGTAAATAGTGTTTCCTTCCTCCACAGCAGGATTGTGGTGGTTGCTGGGAGATGATTTAAAATGCAGCAGGGCTCTTCATCAGTGCAGACAGTGAGCTGTGGGGGAAGATTTCATAAAGTGCTCCCCTTAGCAAAATAACACCCTCTTCTCTTCCTGGCATAATACATCTCTGCCTTCTGTACTCCAATATGTCCTGCTGTTTTTCTTCCATCGCGCCTCCTTATGTCTCTTTTACTTTGTCGCTGTGTCTCTCACACAATTAAAAATCTTTTTATATAAATCCCTTCGTGGTCATCTACCTTTCCTCTCATTCTTTCCTCTAAAATCTGATTTTCGTTTTTTGAGGACACCCTTTCTCGCTTATTCCCCTCACTAAGGAGATTTTTTTGAGCTCCCAAAAACCCAGAGATGCCATCTGATTAAACACACTGAGGTCTGTCTCTGGTCTAGACCTACTGTATATTTACATTTATGACTATATCTCCAGTGCCATCTGCCTGTCTGTGTATCTGGCCCGACACGACACAAGTCTAGCCAATACAACACATAAGAGACAGTCACACTCCCAGACATGTGTGGGAGCTTTGGTACATCAGAGGGGAGGGCGCTAGACGAGGGGCCGCGAACAAAAATGAGAACATCTCATTTTCCTCTCTGGTGATAAAATATGACTTGTTATGACAGGTTTTTCTTTTTTTCTTAACCATCTAATATAATTTGTTCCTGCCCTTCATTTGAACCCAGCACCTACTCATATCCAACAGTTAAATTCAATATTCTGCTACAGAGGGAAACTTTCTTCAACTCTGCCACAACTTATTTCCTCTGATCTACTGCAGCCTGTGGGTAAAGGTGACCTCAGTCAGCTTGGCCTTTTACACAACGTTGATTCAGCAGGCGACCTTCGAAGGCCTGGATAAGTGTTAGAAGTGGGATGAAGTGAGATGGGGTTGGTGTCACTTCCCCTGTGCCGGTGCTGAGTGCTCGTTACTGTGTGATTCACCTTCCAGAGTCCCCTGCAGGCAGCAAGCACAGCTCCTGCTCCACACAACAGAGGAGGGAGAGACCGGGCTGAAGCTGAGAGGGATAAAACCTCAACACACAGTCACAGACACTTGAATAAATACAGAGAGAAAACTAAACATGGGCTTGTGCTTGTGTTTGTCCATCCATGTGTCTGTTGGTAGGAACAGCAAATCTCATAAGACATTGGCTTGAAAATTATATAACTATGGCTTAAGTGGTTCAAGGGAAGGAGGATAACGGCATCAGCAAGAAGACAAGAACTGTGAAGCAGGTCTAGTGTCTATAAGCATATTGTATAGGAAATACTGTGTGTATAATCCTCTACCAGTGAGGACAAAGGATTTATTACCTCCACCAAGGAGGTTGTGTTTTCATCGCCATTTGTTTTTAGGTATTTTTTTCTGACATTTCATGAAGGGTTCGTGTATAACACAAAGAGGAACCAATAACAATTTGAGGTGGATCTGTCTTTCTATCACTTTCTTTCCATTGCGAGATAGAACATGAGCCTGGATGGAGTTTTGTACTCTCTGAGCACTCATCTACTGTCCCCTGTAAAGCCTTTCTAGTGAATTTGGGATTAATTTTGAGATTCAAACTAATAGGACTTAGCCTCAACCAAAGATTTTTGTAGTCAACCAGTCACTAGTTGGCTCATACATTAATCATTTTAGTTTAATTATAGAAATATATATTTATTTGGAGGAAGGAAATGGTTTGACTTCTGACCCCGAACGCTACCCCTGAGAAGGACTGTTTTATGTAGACCTTCCATTTTGAACACTATGATAAATTAGAAGAAAAATAAAAGCACTATAAGCCTCTAAAATATACATTTCACAAGAAAATACACAAATCAAGCTGCCTATTAATGACATTGGCAAACATTTGAATGGTTCTCAATGTGCTAGAACAACCAACAAGGAGACGAAACACAACAAATAATTGGATATGTACATATTTATCCAGGCTGTCAATTGTTAGTGTACAGCCATGCTATGTACAGAACATGTTTCAAATGATGAGTCATGTTTGAAGTGGACAAACGTGGTCTTGGTATTGTCCTTTAATCGTCACACAATGATCCTTAACTTGAGATATGTTTTCTTCGAAACCAATAAAAACTTAGTCGGCTAAATGTTCTCATCAACCAACATTTGCTTGACTATTAGAGACCAGCTCTACAGACTGGGGACGTTGAGGTTCATCTTTAGCATCTTCACCAGTGTCTCTGCCACATCAACGCCTCCTCATGTCATGTAGCCTTGATGCCTCTGAGACAACCTGCCAACTCGTCTCTTCATCACACTGATGACTTACAGTGGGTTCTCACTTGGATATTTTCGGTGGTGTCAGACTCAGAAACGGTACATAAATAAAGTATTATGTTTAAAGCTTCTGAAACAACATTGAAACCTTCATGTTGCGAAATTACAAAAAATATAACTGAACAATTAACTGAATAAAGGAAGTATGAACACTCCAGGTTCAGACAATGCTTAAATGATATAAACCATCTTTATTACACTGAAGATGAATGAAATATATATGAAATAGTATTTGGTCATCAACTAAACAACAAGGTATTGTTTTCACATGAAGATGGTGAAGGAATCCAGTGGATCATCAAACTCACACACACAGCAACACTTTTATCCAAAGAGACAAGTCGCTAGAAATCCACACATTTAGAAAATGGGTAGAGATAATGAGACCTGAACTTATTTATTTTACCTACATACGGTTGTACTGAGAGATCAACATATTACAACCTAAGAAAACACACGCAGATGGAGGAAATGTATTCACAGCAAATAGAAAATGTGCGGCAAATATAAATACTCACAAAATACAACACATCCAAATACTCGCAACACAACTGAATACTCACAACACAACCAAACACTCACAACATTACTGAATACTCAGAACACAAAGTATCATGGCACAATCAAATACATAAACACACTGAATATTGCACAGATGACAACAAGAGTGTTTCCAGGGGAAATAAAGGTGACAAACACAACTGGGACATGCTGTTGCATAAATGGTTATCTGGGTCACATTTGCAATCACTATGATAGAAAACATATTAAAACAAAGAACCGACTCATAAATTATATAATATGTATGACATATTTAATTGGTTAGAAGATCACCCACATTACCATGACGTTTATAAATATGTATCGCTAACAAACAAAAGAGGAGAAAGTAGTTTTTCAGTCGAGCCTGAACAAACAACAGAATAATAGCATGAGGCTGATTGTGAGCTGTCCACCTTCTCACCGCCTGATAATAACAGTGTCTGTGCAGTTTACTGCTTTAATTAGCATGATTCTCTGAGAGACTGACAGGTTGTATGGGTTTCGATGAGAGAGAGTGTGGCTGTGTGGAGGAAACAGGCCAAACACACAGTCAGACTGTGGCCGTGGGCAGGGAGAAGAATGAACGCTGTGAACGAGGCCGATTCTGATTCACTCCGTCCTGTGCAATCTGTGAATAGTATATGCAACAGCTGCTATGTGGTGCATGACGTTCCGGGCTCGACATGTTCACACCAAATTTGTCTGCCAGTTCCTGTAAGACGAAAGGAGAATCCCCAGGAAACTCCATCCCCTATTGGATGCATGAAGCATCACCAGGAGGAAGCACTGCCATGTATGTACACTCCCCGTGACACTGATTACCATATCCATGGCTGCGCTGCCGGCTGCACAGTCAGATCTGTGTCGTAATGTTGTAGTATGTGTAGTGTGATCTCAAAATAGATTCTCTCAATGGGAGTAAAAGTGGCATTCAAGCAGATGAATAACTGCATTTTATTTTTACATGATGGCTTTAAAGTCGACAGGAGAATGTGGGTCTGTGGGATATTTTTAGAAGTTTCTTTTAAATGTTTTATGTAACTCAAATATTACATAAGCCATGGCAAACACATTTTCTCCAGTTATTACTTTCATCTTCATAAAGTATGGGCTTGGTTAGGGACTGTACACAGGGTCAGAAGAGGATCATGTTTTCTTTGTCTGATTGTCTGGAAGAACGGGGGGTGGGGGGGCACAGCACGTGTTTTTATGTTGTATTTTGTCATATTAAGAGGAAAACAAACAAACTATACTGTAGAAACCTCGTGTATGTGGTGATAAACAATTGATATAGATAGTTAATCGAAATGTATCATTATGTGAAATAAACAAAGTAAACTAGAGGGATGAAGCGTTCAGCATCCTGAAGATTGTCAAAATGTTTATGAGCTGACATCTTGATTTTTTACATGCAGAAGCAACATGAACAACACATCCAGTTACATAACACGAAGCCACCATTTTCTTCCACAGCTGTTCTCCTGCTGTCTGTTATGATGTCTCATTTGCATTGGTTTGTATTCAGTGTTTGTGTTGCTCTTTATCTCTGCAGAACTACGGGGGTGGAGGCTTTTTTTCATGAAAACCTGCATAATCTAATGGATACAACAGCCTTTTAAAAGTAAATAACGTCTCTGTGAAGTAGCAGAACCTTTCATTTCAGCCATAGGAAATACACCTGAACACATTTAAAATAGATTGTATAGGAAACTGATATATGATATAATGCAACAATACAACAAAACGGCAAAGAACAGCCTCGATGATTGTCTTTCCATTTTAAAGAAAATAAAACACAGACATCAATGTGGGGAACCACAGGACTGAAGTACCTTAATGTATATAATGTAGTTCCACCGGTTCCAACTCAGCTACAACAGTAAAATGCTGCTGAACAAATAGGTTGTGAATACTAACGCTATTAGTTGATAAGATAATGAATGTGCAATGAAAATGGTCAAAATGTCATGTTCTAGTAGTCACAGGGGCCTTTTCTCTGCAGGGGCACAAAAATGCATTTTGTTTCAGATACTACTGCTACTAACGATGAGTGGCATGGTGGTTCAGTGGTTTTGACTATTGCTTTAGAGCAAGAAGGTTCCCAGCTTTTCTGTTGCATGTTCTCATGAGTTTTGTTGAATTGAGACTCTAAATTGACCATATGGATGAATGTGAATGTGAATGTGAATAGTTACTTGTCCCGATCTTTGTGACATGCTGGCAACTCTGTCCAGAGTGTACCTCACCTCTCGCCCGATCTGGGATCTGTGAGGATCATCTGGGACCCTCACAGGATATGCTGGATAGATAATAGATGAATGGATAATAATACATCTAATTTGTATTGTGCTT